CCCCAAACGAAAACAGCCGGTCCTTCAACACTTCCATCCTATACTTAGCGGTGCACCATTAGAGACCATACCGTCACTGCCTGAGAGTTTCGACCGTACCGAGAGCTTAGACGTAGACGGCGTAGAGAGAGATAAGTGTGACACTAACAGCGCTAGTGTGTGTGGTAACTCGCATGCAGCGTGCGGTGTCGGCAGGTGCGAGCGAGAGCGGGACAGGAGCGAGCGAGACAAGGGATCGCCGCGTCACGCGCGCCACGAGTCGTACGGCGGTCGTGAGCCGGCGCCGCCCACTCACACTCAAAACGCGTCGCTGAATTCGTCGTCGACGCCGCTCGGGATACATCGGAGGTCGTCGGATTCTGACCTCAGTGTTACGCCAAAAGGTATGTCTTTCTAAGCTTTACAAACTCCATGATCGCGGATCAACTGAACCGTATTAATTTTCCAAGCAATTCTGTCACAAATCCGACTATTATCAACAAAATAATTTCAATTTCTTTTAGTTTCTATTTTTTCCTCAAAAAATGAATTTATTTCCGTTTAATATGTGTATTAATTCAATTTACCTTTCGTTTAAGAACATATACCTACTTACACATGTTAAGTTCCAGAAAATTGATTGTAAGGCCTAGTTTCCACCTATACGTAGCGGAGTTGGGAAGTGTTTTCAGTAACGAATCAGATTTTATGGTTTCCTGAATAATGAAATCCGGTTATTCAACAAAACACTTGGTGGAAACCGGGCCTAACTTTCTGACGAAAGAAAACAGTCCTAATTAATGCTCATTGCTTAACTCGTTCGATGTCAATAGCACGTAGAATTTTGTCCAATGAACCCAAGCTACCCATCCTTATCGCTCGCGCGTAATAATGTTGCTGTCGCGCTCGCACACCCACTGCGGGTGCCAGTCGCACAGTCGCGACAGCAATATAATTACGCGCGAGCGATAAGGATGGGTAGCTTGGGGTCAATGGACAAAATTCTACGTGCTCAGCGACCAGATTATAGTTTATTATTATCACTTTTACTTTTAGGAAGCTCTCTAAACACGTCGGCGGTGAACACGGGTAGCGGCGGCGGCGCCATCTTGCGGCCGTCCATGAACAGCAACAATCTGGAGATGCTTGAATACCCTTTCCTTACCATGTCGGAGTACCCGCCTGGATTCATAGTTCATATTGGTTAGTAATTCATGTCTTTCAGGTTTTCTCGCAAGACAAGGGCAAGCATCGGCTATCGCTTATCTTGCAAGATAAGGTCATTGGCTAGGGACTATAGTCTGGTCTGTGAGCACGTAGAATTTTGTCCAATGACCCCAAGCTACCCATCCTTATCGCTCGCGCGTAATTATGTTGCTATCGCGCTCGCACACTCACTGCGGGTGTCAGTCGCACAGTCGCGACAGCAATATAATTACGCGCGAGCGATTAGGATGCGTCGCTAGGGGTAATGAGGGCTATCGTTTTTATACTTAAAAGTTGGCACCCCTGGCGATTGACAGGACCTTACTCTACAGTGGCGCCATCTTGATGAGTGCAAATGCGACAGTCCTCCTACCACTTTAGCGCTCACAAGTTGGTGCCACTGTCTTCGCGACTAGCAAGTGACAGGACCTTACTCTACAGTGGCGCTAACTGGTGAGCGCTAAAACGATAGCCCTCATTGGACAAAATTCTACGTGCTAACAGACCGGGCTTTAGAAGCGCAGTGTAAAATGTCCAAGAATATTCATTTAAATATAAGTTATCGTCGCAGGTGGCACGGTATGCGCCCGCTCCGTCAAGCTTGTGGACGGCGGCGGGGAGAGCGCGGCCCGAGCGGCGTGGTGGGCCGAACTACGCACTGAGTTGCGAGCGCACGCCCGAGCGCTACGCTGCAACGCCGTCATCGCCTACGCCGACACCGCCGCCATCTGGTCAGTGCCTGTAGCAACCGGTCAGTGCCGGTTGTAACTGTTCAGCCGACCCCCGCCATCTAATCACTTCGACACGCCATGTAAAACTGGTATACAGCGGCGGCGAGAGCCCACGCCCGAGCGCTACGCTGCAACGCCGTCATCGCCTACGCCGACACCGCCGCCATCTGGTCAGTGCCTGTAGTAACTGGTCAGTGCCTGTAGTAACTGGTCAGTGCCTGTAGTCTGATCAGTGCCTGTAGTAACGAGAGCCGACATCGCCGACACGCCATGTAGTCAGTTCGACACGCCCCGTGGAGCTAGTGGACGGCGGCGCCCGAGCACTACGCTGCAACGCCGTCATCGCCTACGCCGACACCGCCGCCATCTGGTCAGTGCCTGTAGTAACTGGTCAGTGCCTGTAGTAACTGGTCAGTGCCTGTAGTAACTTGTCAGTGCCTGTTGTAGTATAGTATGTAAGTAATTATAAGAATATTTTAATATCATAGTTTAGTGTACACCGCATGAGCGTATCTAGGTCGATGACATACGCGACCTCAGCGTGTGACGTAGTTTAAGTTAGAATATAATATATTTTGTAATGCACTTTTGAATCGAATTTATTACACGACTATCATTGAGACAACATCTTTCATTCACCTATTCGATCCCGTTACTACACTGTAGCAACTGGTCAGTGCCTGTAGTAACTGGTCAGTGCCTTTAGTAACTGGTCAGTGCCTTTAGTAACTGGTCAGTGCCTTTAGTAACTGGTCAGTGCCTGTAGTAACTGGTCAGTGCCTGTAGTAACTGGTCAGTGCTCGATAGTAACTGGTACTGAACAGGCACTGGCCTGTAGTAATGAGAGCCGACATCGCCGACACGCCATGTAGTCAGTTTGACAAGCCCCGTGGAATTAGTGGAGGTCGGTAGCGAGAGCCCACGTCGAGCGCTACGCTGCAACGCCGTCATCGCCTACGCTGACACCGCCGCCATCTGGTCAGTGCCTGTAGTAACTGGTCAGTGCCTGTAGTCTGATCAGTGCCTGTAGTAACTGGCCAGTGCCTGTAGTAACGAGAGCCGACATCGCCGACTCTCCCGCCAACTAGTCGGTTCGACACGCTCCGTGAAACTAGTGGATGGCGGCGCCCGAGCGCTACGCTGCAACGCCGTCATCGCCGACACCGCCGCCATCTGGTCAGTGCCTTTAGCAACTGGTCAGTGCCTGTAGTAACGAGAGCCGACATCGCCGACACGCCATGTAGTCAGTTTGACAAGCCCCGTGGAACTAGTGGACGGCGGCGGCGAGAGCCCACGTCGAGCGCTACGCTGCAACGCCGTCATCGCCTACGCCGACACCGCCGCCATCTGGTCAGTGCCTGTAGTAACTGGTCAGTGCCTATAGTCTGGTCAGTGCCTGTAGTAACTGGTCAGTGCTTGAAGCAACTGGTCAGTGCCTGTTGTAACTGGTCAGTGCCTGTAGTCTGATCAGTGCCTGTAGTAACGAGAGCCGACATCGCCGACACGCCATGTAGTCAGTTCGACACGCGCCCCGTGGAACTAGTCGACGGCAGCGGCGAAAGCCCACGTCGAGCGCTACGCTGCAACGCCGTCATCGCCTACGCCGACACCGCCGCCATCTGGTCAGTGCCTGTGGCAACTGGTCAGTGCCTGTAGTAACTGGTCAGTGCCTGTAGTAACTGGTCAGGGCCTGTGGCACACCGTCTTCGCCTACGCCGACACCGCCACCATCTGGTCAGTGCCTGTAGCAACTGGTCAGTGCCTGTAGCAACTGGTCAGTGCCTGTAGTAACGAGAGCCGACATCGCCGACACGCCATGTAGTCAGTTTGACACGCCCCGTGGAACTAGTCGACGGCAGCGGCGAGAGCCCACATCAAGCGCTACGCTGCAACGCCGTCATCGACTACGCCGACACCGCCGCCATCTGGTCAGTGCTTGTAGTAACTGGTCAGTGCCTGTAGTCTGATCAGTGCCTGTAGTAACGAGAGCCTACATCGCCGACACCCCCGTCATGTAGTCAGTTTGACACGCCCGTGGAACTAGTGGAGGTCGGTGGCGAGAGCCCACGTCGAGCGCTACGCTGCAACGCCGTCATCGTCTACGCCGACACCGCCGCCATCTGGTCAGTGCCTGTAGCTCGCACACTCACTGCGGGCGCCCGTCGCACAGTCGCGACAGCAATATAATTACGCGCGAGCGATAAGGATGAGTAGCTTGGGGTCATTGGACAAAATTCTACGTGCTCGCAGACCAGACTATAGCTAACTCGACAGACATATTTTTTACGATTTAATATTTGTTTTTTTTTTTTCGATTTCAGCGAAGATGTATGCGTGCTATCTGCATCGGGCACGGCAGCTGTGATTAATCTTGATTGCGACATGAACGCCGAATTGGATGCTGCTATGTCAGGTAATTTATCTTTTTCTTTTGCTGTGATTTTTTGGTCGGCTTTCCTTGTTCTAAGGCGACAAGACAATCTAAAATCAAAAAAATCAATATCAAAAATATTTATTTAGTTTAGACCACAAGTGGCACTTATGAACGTCAAAATATAGAAAATAATAAAAAAGAAAAGGTAGCCCTTATGGGGCACTTTACATGTCTCCTTATCTTTTGGGCCCTACCAGCGCTTCGAGACAAACATATATAGCAAGTGCTGAGAAGAAACGCCGGAACAAACTCATTCACCGCTAATTGCCAGGAATTATCTAACGGTAAGAAGAATAACCAAATTCAAGTACATCAAATATGTGCAGACTGAACTGACCACGCATCCTTGTCATTAATATAGTCTCGAACCTTGTAGTAACCTTTGGACTGTCTTGGGTTGTCTAGTCACTGATCTGAATTCATTCTAAATCTCATGAAATTGTTGTGTACCATGTGATCTCCTGGACCGATGTCATATGCAGGACCTTATAAAGATGGCAGGAGTACACTGGATGTTCACAACTATAGTCTGGTCTGCCTGCGAGTACGTAGAATTTTGTCCAATGACCCCAAGCTACCCATTAGTACCCATCCTTATCGCTCGTGCGTAATTATGTTGCTGTCGCACTCGCACACTCACTGCGGGCGCCCGTCGCACAGTCGCGACAGCAATATAATTACGCGCGAGCGATAAGGATGGTAGCTTGGAGTTATTGGACAAAATTCTACGTGCTCACGGACCGGGCTATAACCGGTCTAACTGGTAAATCATTGGGGGAGGCCTATGTTCAGCAGTGGACGTCATGTGGCTGATATGATGATGATATTAAAAGCTTATGTCTTTCCAGTGGCCAACGGCACATCCAAAGCAACAATAGAAGAAGTAGAGAGCGAATGTTCCGCCGCGCACGTGCCCTACTCGCCGGGAGCCGGGCCCTACCGCGCGGAGTTATCCACATGCGGCGGCTGCAGGTACGTACAACACCAGGGGCCAGGGTTGCGTGATTTAAATCAAGTTGATTTAAATCAAGATTTAAATCAAGTTGATTTAAATCATGATTTAAATCACGATTTTTATTGCATGATTTTTTTAATAAAAATCACTGATTTAAATCAATATACCTACTAAAATTTCATTTTTAATTAGGTGTTCAAGTATGAAATAGTTGTAAAAAGATATTCGTGTTTTTGTAATGGAAACAGACACCACTTAGGACGAGCTGTTTTTGACGAGTTTTTTCTTGTTTCAGTAAAAATATGACATCTTACATAATTTAACTTTTTTGGCTTGTTCCCAGTACTATACCTCAATTGTACCTAAATAAACATGTTTTCTGCATGAAAAACTAAGGCAATGATTACAATGATTATAAAATAAAATAAAATAAAATATTCAAAAAAATCTGTTTTTTTTGATTAATATAAAAAAATCATGATTTTTTTCCACCCTGCCAGGGGCTCCACCATATCGAATAACAAATGATCGAAAATCAAAATATCGAACACGTGTCATCGAACGATCAAAATATCGAACGTTCAGAATATCGAATTTACAAATGATCGAATGATTAAAATATCGAAAGTCGATCTTATATTGCATAGTATAATAGGAAGATGGAGGTAAGGGTTTGTTGACTATGGTACCCTAAAGTAGGAAATAAAAAAATTTTTTATATGAATATGTTTTATTTAGGTAAATTAATCATATGACATTTAATTAAAACCTCTATATTGATTTTCGATATTTTAAACATTCGATATTTTGATCGTTCGATGATTTGTAAATTCGATATTCTGAACGTTCGATATTTTTACCATTCGATATTTTGATCATTCGATGAAACGATGACATGATATGATGGAGGTAACCCCAATACCAGGCCTACTGCAGAACACTTATAAATCAACAGAAGGACCACACCGCAAACACATTTAAAGAAATTGCGAGTAATTGCTGTACTCACTACAGCTTAATAAAGTGCAGTTCATTTAGCGTATGGCTTAAATATTTTGTCCCTTTTTATCGGTTTGTTTAGACAATGGGATTGCCTAAGCTAAAGATGTGGTTCCAGCAAAGATGAATAAGACCACCCCATCTTCTCGTAGATGTCGTAAGAGAATGGGTAAGATTATCCAATAAAACACACAATAATAAGAGTTTACATTCACAGACGAGCGCGAGTGCCCGCGGTGCTGTTATCTACTTGCTCTAAACCCAGCAGACTTGCCTCCTACTCTAAAGCGGTTACTTTGACTGCCGTCGGTAAGTATAGCTACAGTTACTGCCGTAATTCATTTGTTAGTTTGTAATTACATAAGATAAACGATTGCTTACTGATAATCCATAATCTAGAAACGATCACATAGTTAGTTATACATTGCTACGAGACGCGCGTGGGATTTTATATTTATTGAAGAACTAGCGGCCGCCCGCGACTTCGTACGCTTGGATCCCGTTTTACCCCCTTAGGGGTGGAGTTTCGTAAAATCCTTTCTTAGCGGATGCCTACGTCATAACATTTACCTGCATGCCAAATTTCAGCCCGATCCGTCCAGTGGTTTGGGCTGTGCGTTGATAGATCACTATGTCAGTCAGTCAGTCACCTTTGAGTTACATTTACTTAGATAATAAGATTATCTAGTTGAACCGAATGAATTTAACATGTCTCAACCGGAATACAAACCCCAAACTATCCTATACCAATGATATTCTACTCGCTGAATATATACTCAACATCAAATAAACCGCACCTTCCGCGACGCGAACTTTAACGATTTTCTTCTGACACAATCATGGTGCCCCAACAATATTGGTGTTATTTGAAAGTCCAATAAATATCCTTAATGAAAAACACATTTAATTTCTTAATAAATGATTAACATATACCATAAATGTGACTCGAAAAAATACCTCACTTTGGGCCCACCTATGGGATCAATTATACCAATTTTTATGGTTATAAAACCAAATAATGATCTCACGTGTCCTCTTTAACAGATGGATAGCGATTAATCCCAACTTAACAGTTTTATAGTCATAAAAGTTGGCTTTAGCGTAACTACCTATTTTTTGAAGAAGTGACTCTGGATCCTTCCCTAGACACATTTTTGGGGTAAAAACCTTTCCTTTAATGAAATGAAGGTTAGAACTAGGCTTTTAAATGGTGCCAATATTGGTGGGAAGTGGGGATGCATACGTTTGAAAATGCTTGTCGCGGGAGGTGCGATTTATTTGATGTCGAGTGTATTATGACAGATACATATCTGTCTACTCACGGACATTGCCCGCGGGCGGCGTGACCGGAGGGAGCAGTGAGCGTTCGGCAAACGAACGAGCAATGTTCGGTTCGCGAGCGAACATCGAAGAAGACGATTCTGACGCACTCTCTTCAACGACTTTGCACTAAACGGTCTCGATAATCTTGTAAATTTATACCAAATAGACAATGGACGTGTTGACACCACCAATCAATTGACGTACTTTTTAAAACTGTCAAAACGAAACTCTCCCATAGATTTTGTATGGCACTACAAGCAAGTGACGTCACTATTTTGTCATCTCAATTAAACTACTTTTCAACCGACTTCGAAAAAGGAGGAGGTTCTCAATTCGACCCGTATGTTTTTTTTTTTTTTTTCTATGTTTGTTACGCGATAACTCCGCCAATTATGGCTTTACAAAATGCCCATTTGACGCGGATTGAGGACACTAATCGCCTTAATGCAGCATTGTGATCGGAAAATAAAACAAATGGCGGTCTCAACTAGACTCGTTCGTTCTAACCAACGGTCGTCCACTGCTAAGTCTAGCATTCCTATGTCATGGTCGCCACAAGCCATGGCGGTTACTTGATAATGACTAAGACGATTACTTTGGTTCTCCTACATATCTGCTAATTTTTGATTCGATCACACAGGAAAATAAGGCGCAAATGGATCCCACATTTGTCCTTTAGTCTCCTGTTACAACATTCACGGGAAAAGTGGGAACCCTTGTGGAACAACAATCAATTAAATCATCTGTTTATTACATTGCCAGGTGGAGACAGCTCGTGGATTGGCTCGGCGCGGTCTTCATACGCGAATGCAAGTGTTCACAGCCCGTGGATTGGCGCGGCGCGGTCTTCATACGCGAATGCAAGTGTTCACAGACGCGCTCACGCCGAAACGCGACGCGCCACCTTACGCTTTTGTGCAGGTACGACTAAAGTCTGTGCGCCGAGAGTTGTTAAAAAAAAAAACAAAATATCAGAGGTTCTAAACTCATTATAAATTGCGGCCCGCTAATTATTTTTGTCGATATAATGATAAAGTTGGTAAATTATCATTATTATCTCTTTTAAAGAAGAACGGTCATCTGTGACCCAGGCCCGACAGAAACGAGACATACCTCAGTTTTTTTGTCATGTCTTAATTAGTTAAATTATATATTTTTTATATTCGAAATCTATGTATAACACCTTTGTTTTTGTTTAGGCGTTATACAAAAACTCATACAAAATGCCTATTTATCACCAAAATTGGTAAATCTATGTACCTAAATGTCTATTACAGCTGCTATGGAATGTATCTAGGTGACCTGGAGATACAGCCGGATTATACAGGGTGGAAAAAATAATAAGTTACAAAATCCATAAATTCAATGTTACCAGCTTCCATAATCTGTACCCTATTAATGGTACCATTTCAAAGAGCTCGTGAAGCACTTTCAGAATCAGTAACTAGTTTTTCAATATCTTGTATAGTTTAAAAATAATCGAGTGAGATCACTTATCGTTCCATATGTATAACCACCCTGTATAATCCGGTTGTATCTCCAGGTCACCTAGATACATTCCATATCAGCTGTAATAGACATTTAGGTACATACATTTACCAATTTTGGTGATAAATAAGCATTTTGTATTAGTTTTTGTATAACGCCTAAACAAAAACAAAGGGTAATATTTTGGTGTTATACATAGATTTCGAATATAAAAAATATATAATTTAACTAATTAAGACATGACAAAAAAACTGAGGTATGTCTCGTTTCTGTCGGGTCTGGGTTTTTTTTGTATGGGGCGTGACCGTTCTTCTTTACGGGAATTATTCCGGTTAGGGCCTACGTCCCGATACGGATCAAACACGTGGCGTCCATGTGTTGGATAAAAAGTATTTCATTATTATCAAGTGGCTTATAGTGTATCCCAATGTTGGGCAAAGCCCTACCACTGTCATACCATTCATTTCGGTCTTATGTAAAATAAATCTATTCCGTTTCACACATTGCGGCCCGCCGGCCGGGGCGCTTGACGACAGCTGCGTGGCTCGTACCATGGTACTCAGTGCGCGTTGTGACAAACGACGCCCGCCATACGGAATGCGATAATTAGGCGACAGTCGCTATTGCAAGACATTTCATAATATTTATCAACTCTCGGCGAACAGACTTTAGTAGTTGTAAGTTAGATTGGGACCGTCATATCTATTAGCTACTCATCACTATCACAGTCATAGGACGTCCACTGCTGAACATAGGCCTCCCCCAATGCTTTCCATGTTGCCCGGTTGGTAGCGGCCTGCGTCCAGCAACTTCCTGCTACCTTTATGATGTCGTCGGTCCACCTTGTGGGTGGACGTCCCACGCTGCGTTTCCCGGTATGCGGCCTCCACTCCATAACCTTGCTGCCCCATCGGCCGTCTGTTCTGCGTACTATGTGCATTGCCCATTGCCACTTCAAGAGTTCAACTTGCTAATCCGTCGGGCTATGTCAGTGACTTTAGTTAGCTACTGCTATCTGATGATAATTAAGGTTTTTTTATCATCGTCATAAACTTACTACCTTATGGAGGAAACTAAGTACCCCCAAATTGTATCGACTATACCTTTACTCGCTTGTAGTTTAGCGACAAAACTATCTGAAATTGGCGTTTGATTTGACGACTTGGCTGATAAGTGATAACCCATCGGTTCTTATACAGATATGACTAATCCACTACTAACATTTCAAGTATTTTATTTGTTGGTTTGTTCAAGTCCCAAAAAATATCTTGAGAAGTAGGCGAAATAAAACCACCACTATCAAGATTCAACCACAATGTGTATATTTTAAAAACATCATCTCAGACTACTTATGTAAATCGAAAAATACTTTATCACCGCGTGTTAAAAGCCTACAGCGTCATCTAGCGGTAAGCTGTTGAATTAAATAGTACGCACTACGCGTACGTGCTAATATTATAAATGAATGGCGTAAACAGGTTGGTGTGCTGTTGACTTTGAATTACTATTAAAACTTGTGATGTTGTTGTTATTTAGGCGTGGCGCGGCAAAGTGCAGGGCGGGGGCCTGACGGTAGGCGGCGTTCGCGGCGCCGGCGAGCGGCAAGTGGGCCGCGCACTCGACGCGCTCGCCTACAAGCTGCGCCGCCTGCAGCCCGCCGCGTTACTCACCGCCGCCTTCCGCATCGACCTGCCCGAGGTGAGGCGGGGGACTGACTCACAGGAGGCGGGGCCTGACAGTGGGCCGCTCGCCTACAAGCTGCGCCGACTACAGCCCGCCGCGCTACTCACCGCCGCCTTCCGCATCGACCTGCCCGAGGTGAGGCGGGGGACTGACGTCACAAGGCGGGGCCTGACAGTGGGCGGGCAGCGGCAGGTGGGCCGGTGACCTGCCCGAGGTTAGTAGTATCTTTTAACAGAAAACACTTCTAGAAACACTGCATACCATTACTTTTAGAATAGGAACAGAAAGCACAGAGCTATTTCTACAAGAAGAAACACTGCAAACAGCTGCTTTCAAAGAGGAAACACTGCAAATTAGTGCTTTTACGAGACGAAACACTGCTTTTGATAGTTACTAGTGGAAGAAACACTGCGCACAGCTGCTTTTAACATAGGGGGCATTCCATGTAGAGATTGCAAAATCCGGATTTTTCTTAAATCCGGTTTTCCGGATTTGTGTTACGTACAAATCCGGATTATCCGGATTTTTCGAATATTGGGTAAATTTTTTAAACCATCAATTTAATTTCAATAAAACGTAGTTTTTTTTTTTCAAAAAGATGTAAGTATTTGAAGAAAAGCGTTTTATTTTATTATAGCGCATGGAATTTATTCCTCTTTTTTTCGGTTTGCGCTACAAGCTTTCGAAATTATTTGAACCTTGCATTATTTTTTTCGTTTTAGTACAAATGCATTTCAGAATAAAAACTTGCTTGTACCTATAAAATATTTTTTTTATTCTTCTTCTTGTCGTGTCGACAACAAACCTACACAGCGTCAGCCCAAAACTCCGCCACAAGAGTGGCGTTGTCAGTAGCCTTCATTAAATCTTCCTGCGTGCAATTGTTTGGGCACGCAGGGNCCTACAGCCCGCTGCGTTACTCACCGCCGCCTTCCGCATCGACCTGCCCGAGGTGAGGCGGGGGACTGACGTCACAGGGCGGGGCCTGACAGTGGGCCGCTCGCCTACAAGCTGCGCCGCCTACAGCCCGCTGCGTTACTCACCGCCGCCTTCCGCATCGACCTGCCCGAGGTGAGGCGGGGGACTGACGTCACAGGGCGGGGCCTGACAGTGGGCCGCTCGCCTACAAGCTGCGCCGCCTGCAGCGGTGATTGATCTGCCTGAGGTGAAACGTTCTAGGATAGATAAAGAGCTTCCTCGTTGTGGATAAAAAAAAACACTACGTATAGCCTTTTAGAGCGGGAACAGGAGAATAAACTTAGAGAGTCTTAAGTCCACTCCGATCACAAACATGTCCGTCTTCCAGAACGCTTACTGAGAGATCTGTGTCGTAACACGCCCTCATGCCCTAAGACGAGGTCCAGCTGTCCTAAGCTGTTATCCTGCCTCGGCGGCTGGGCACGGGCGACGCCGACGACGACATCTTCGAAGGAATTGATTACAGCTCGGCGAAACTTGAACCATGTCCATGTCAGGGCGTCTGATCTGTCTAGTATACCTTCTTGTCCCACAGGATGAAATCCAGCTAACAGAATCTGGGCACAGCGGTGAATTTTTGGGATTATTCTTGAGGACTAGTAGTATCAGGAACGGTGGTGTATTTCAGGGACATCTAGTGGGAAAACCTGAGTCTTGTCCCCTGGGACGTTTAGTGGGAAGCATCTATCTTAACACATCTTCTGTCTTCTGACGCGGACGATGACGTCTTCGAAGGAATTAATTAGAATCCTGCGAAATCTGATACTTCATGCCTTCACGATAAGAACCAGCTAGTGATATTGGGAACGGAGGTGGATTTTTGTGCCATCTACTATGAAATCTGTCTTATAAGCATCTTGATTTGTCTCTCCGAACGCCTGCTAAAAGATCTGTGTCCTAACTCATCTATAGTCTGGTCCGGAAGCACGTAGAATTTTGTCAAATGACCCCAAGCTACCCATCCTTATCGCTCGCGCGTAATTATATTGCTGTCGCGACTGTGCGACGGGCGCCCGCAGTGAGTGTGCTCACGGACCGGGCTTTAGTAGTGTCGAGAATCTTAACATGTGCCTTAACATGTCAAATTCAAATTATTTATTGCATGTCACATGGGTAAGGGTTGATAGAACATAATTTTGTAGGTACATGTGACGCCCAGTGAAGGCGTTGCAAAAACTTAAAAGTTGTCTCCTTGCTCAAAGCACTAGATCCAGCTTAGTATCAGGCATAGCGGTAGATTTCTAAGAAATCACAATTTTAAGTTACTCTTTTGTCTCCTAGCATAAGATCCAGCTAGTAGTATCGAGCATGGCGGCGAATTTCTGGGACATCGGAGTCTTAACACAGTTGTCAGTCGTAAGTAACACACAGTCTGAACCAGATCCATCCTGGTCCAGCCTGGACATCTTGCTTCCAGGATGAAATCCAGCTAGTGGTGTCGGGTACGGCAGTGGATTTTTGGGAAGTCTGTCTCATAAGCTTTTGCCCCTAAGACGAGTGTTCTTTATCGGTCTCTTACCCCTAAGACGAGCTATACTAAGCTATTATCCTGTTTCCAGGACGAGATCCAGCTGGTGGTGTTGGATATAGCAGCGGATTTTTAGGAAATCTGTCTTATAAGCTTGTCGACTTGTCGCCCAGGACGCTTGCTGGTGTATCTGTGTCCGAACACGTCCTTTAGCCCCTAAGACGAGCTATCCTAAGCTGTTATCCTGCTTCCAAGATGATATCCAGCTAGTGGTGTCTGGTACAGCAGTGGATTTTTGCGATTATTCTTGAGAGAGTTTCTGGAACAGCTTACGTCTTAACACGTCCCCTTTCCCTCAGGACGAGATCCAGCTGGTGGTGTCGGGCACGGCGGTGCGGCTGGCGGACGCGCGCGAGCCCGAGCGGCGGCTGGGCACCGGCGACGCTGACGACGACATCTTCGCGCTGGACGAGGAGCAGCTGGCTAGAGCGCCGGTCGAGCCGGTGGATGAGAAGATGGCTAATGGACAGGTATGACAACACCAAAGTTTTTCTTTTTTTTCGGCCTCCTGGCCGGTACTATAATGCTGCTTTATATTAACCGGCAGACAGTGGTGACTGAGTTTGTTGCGGCGCTTCTTCTCAGCACTTGCCAAATGTTGGTCTCGAAGCGCTGGTAGGGTAAAAAGATTATGAGACATGTAGAGGCTCCTTAAGAGCAAAATGACGATTTGTAAGAACTATTTATTAGTCCAAACAAATAAAGAAATTTTGACTTTGACTTTGAAGCTGTGAGTACAAGCCTCCTGGCTTGCGTTGCTGATAGCACTTCAATAACTTAGAGAGCACTAGTTCACTGGTTAAACGTTCCGTGACGTGGTGTTAACGTGTCAGTTGACAACGCGAACTATACTGCACTGTACCGGTAACGCGAGATCAAACCAGTCCGTAGGATCGAAGGACCATTTAATGTGGGGCGTAACTCCTTCATTAAAGAATGCTAGGGTAAGGATGCTATGCTATGAGGATGTGAATGATGCTGAAGGGTCGGGAGAGGTGGAATGAAAACGACCAGTTTGAGTAACTGTTAAAAATACACTGATTTATTGCTATAACGTATTCAATGCGTTTGACGCTAATTTGGGTCAACCGCGCAAACGCTTACTTAGCAATAACTTATTAGCTATATGAAAAGTGAATACGTTTGTACGATAGCTCGTATATATAGGCTATAATTTATGACGATCTGAGACAAACTAAATTTCACGCGGTCCACCGCGGGCAAAAGCTAGTGTATAATAAACACTAATACAACTGATTGCATTTACAGACACCCACAACAGTATCTCTGACGTCAGTGTGCACCATAAGCGGCGCGCGCGCAGTAAGACGCGTCTGTGCGTTGCGACTACTCTTCGTAAGAGAAACCACTACTGTGCGGGAGCTGGGAGGACTTAGCGGGTTTCTACACACGTTTACTTGTGAGGTAAGCGATGTCATTTGTTATTTATCCATAGAATTCAATAGAATAGAAAACAGTTTATTTGGTAAAATATGTCACGACCACTAGGCCTAAGATGCGCGCCGTGATAACTTTTATCGACGTCAAAATGTATGGGCAAAATCGATAAAATCGCGTGATAACCGGTTATTGCAGTGCGCATCTTAGGATTTTTATCACGGGACCTTTGTGACACCTGGCTCTGCTGTTTTTGTATTTTTACCTCAGAATACAAAAGCAAAAGAACAGATGCCAGGTTAGGGTTATTCTAACGAAAAGACAAATTAACACTCATAAGTTTTTTTTAATTTTTTTTATCCACAACGAGGAAGCTCTTGGCCTGTATCTCACCTGATAGTAAGTGATGATCAGGCCGAAGGTGGAAGCGAGCTTCACCCGGAATCCTCAACCACGGAGGAACTGGCTATCTTACCTCTAACTGCCCGAACACAACAATGCTGTTAACATTGTTGTTATGGCGACAGACTTAGGTAAGATGGTGGTAGCTAGCCAGGCGGACTTAGAACAAGCCCTACCACCAACCAAACCGAACTGAAAAATCTGCCCCGACTGGGAATCGAACCTCTGCGTCTGAAGCAGGTAGTCATACCACTAGACCACAGATGCGGTTATTAGAATAGAAAAAAGTTTATTTGGTATAATATGTCACGACTATTGATGTGCCGTTCCCGAGAACGCTCTCTCAACTGAGAATATTCTCGGGAGCGTTCCCGGGAGCGTTCTCCTAAGTGAGAAAGGTTGAGAATCATGTTTATCAAATGGAAATAAACAAACTTTCTTAAGTAAAATAGTATTAAATTAAGTCAATAGATAAGTGTATATTAAACAATACACTCTATTTGCAGTGAATGGCTATATTCTCAGTGTTCCCGAGAATATTCTCGGGAACTTTCTCGGCAATATTCTTGGCAACTGCACCTTTATTATATTTTATTTTTTTCGTGGTGAAATGTCGTTTTAATGATATGTAAGATGACAGAAATTTCTTTTTACACATAATTAAATAATGTAACTGTCCATTTTTTCGTTTTTAACACGCTCTTATTAGGTCGTCGTGTATGTAACTAACTATGTAATGGAATCTTAAAATCTGAATTACACACACTTCTAAGTATTGTATCATCATGAAACTTGGCAGTTATATGTAGATTAGAAATGACAATACAATATTGCGGTACCTACCAGCTGGTCTGATGAAGGGACTGGAAGGTGGCCAAAAGAACTCCTAAACGAAACGGCGGAATCACATCGAGTTTGGGTTCATTGGATGTCTTTTCGAGATCTTTAAGTGCTAGATAATGTTCAGGGTCCTAATGATGGAGTCAGGAGGTAGCCATAGGAACTCCTAAACGAAACGGCGGAAACTCATCGATTTTGGGTTCGTTGGATTTGTCCTTTCGAGCATGTTATTGTTANTTCCGCCCACCAAAGACTAGTCTTTAAAATCCGCCCACCATGAGAATAGTAAGTTACAGATTACAAAATTTAACATTTTAAATAGGCTCATGGTAAACATCTAAAATGAATTGAAATCATTAGCAACATTTCAAAAATTTTAACAATACATTTTTCTTTGGCTACGGAATAAGTATGGACAAAGTAACACAATAAAATCGACATTCTAAGTATCCATCTAAATAGATTTAACAATCAGCTGTAGGTAAAAGACACAACTTTGAAGTTGGACGCTTGATGACGGAGTTTTTACAACGAAGTGAGACCACGCGTGTAATGTTGTCTCTACCCGGGTGCAATTCGACAATCTTTCCATACAACCACCTAGCCGGAGGTAAATTATCTTCCTTAATCAGGACTACGTCTCCTAATTTGAATCCAGGTGTGCGTACTGACCACTTATGTCGTTGAAAAAAGTTTGTCAGGTATTCAGCCGACCACCGTCGCCAGAAGCATTGCACCATCCTTTGCGTCAACTGCCAGCGCCTTAAAGTGCTGAGATGAACATGTTGTTCAAAGTTGTAATCTGGGGGCAATACAAGAGGTTGCCCAACCAGAAAATGACCAGGTGTAAGCGGAGCTACATCTGGTTCCGAACTGGCCTTAGACAGCGGTCTCGAATTAAGACACGCTTCTATTTGACTTAATACTGTGCATATCTCTTCAAAAGTGAGAGTGCTATCTCCTATCACGCGTTTAAAATGGTGTTTTACGCTTTTGATCCCTGCCTCCCATAACCCTCCAAAATTTGGAGAATGAGGAGGGATGAAATGCCAGTCAGTGTTGTTGTTTGCTAGAGCATCGGCTATTTCACAAGCGACTCGACTCCTCTCATCCCCGAACAGACAACGCAGTTCGCGAGAAGCACCCACAAAATTCGTGCCATTGTCGCTCCAGAGGTGGCTACAATGGCCACGTCTGGCGACAAACCTTTTGAAGGCGGCGAGAAACCCTGCTGACGTCAAATCCGAGACGGCTTCGATGTGTACGGCGCGGGTGGCCATACAAACGAATAAACAGATGTATCCCTTGTATGATTTTTGTCCTCGCCCCTTGGAAAATCGAATGTTTATGGGGCCTGCGAAGTCGACACCTGAATTTAAAAACGGTTTACTAGGTGTAACTCGACAAGAAGGTAGCTCTCCCATTAACGCATTTCGAGAAGCTCCTGCGTAACGGATACAAGGAACACAGTTGTGAATGTGTGATCTTATTAAACCTTTGACCCTCAATATCCAATATTTAGTCTGTAAGAACCGGAGCATCAATTGTTGCCCGCCGTGAAACGTTCGTTCGTGAGCATCAGCCACTAACAATTTAGCTAGCCTTGATTTGTTTGGGACAACAACAGGATGCTTGCTTTCAGGTGGTAATTCGGAATGACGAATTCTCCCACCAACTCTTAAAATTCCGTCGTCGTCAAGAAACGGCGACAGCGAAGAAAGAGGACTACTCTTGCTAACCTCTTCCTTTGAATGGAGAGTTCGAAGGTCATCTTGGAACCAGGTTTTTTGACATTTCAGAATGCATAGCTGTAGAGACTCCTTTATTTCGGACACAGAAATGTAAGGTAACAACTTGAGTTTGGGCTCGCGACATCTTTTTATGAACCTTTTGCAAAGAGCGACTACTCTGACCAGCTTTCGTAACGAAGAAAATCTGTCCCACAACCAATTATCTTCATCTTCGGGAGTTATCGCCGTCGCATGAACACGGACTACTTTTTCTTCGTCGTTGTGGTTTATAGAGCTAGGTCTGCCGTAATTCAAAGATTCGCCGCGTAACCAACTTGGTCCTTGTAGCCAAAGAGGATTATGTAAAAGCTCAGTTGGAGTAGTGCCTCGCGACGCAATATCGGCGGGGTTGTCCTTTGATTGTACATGAGACCACTGTGAATTGTCCAGAAGACCGAGGATTTCCGACGTGCGGTTGGCTACAAACGTCAGAGGAGAGCGCGCCTAAGTGCTTCGCGCTCGACTTTGCTCTGCGCCGCCGCTGTCGTCCGAGGAGGATACGCGCGCATCAAACAAACACAAAAAAGGCCCTTTTCAGGGCCGCATATGATTCTTAATGTGTGTGTCCACCAACACAAGTTTCTGTCGATGACGAGTCCGAGTTTAACATTTTATTACACACTCCATAATGTGTACATACATACCTACATACTTACTCACTCGCTTTATTATTATTTATGCCGATCAATAAATTATTTAACACTATAATAATTATCTAGTAAATGAACTGCAATAATACTCTTACGCGCACGCACGCAACAATCAATGCAAATTGAATATGAATGAAAGAGAAACAAAATGAATAGTAATAGTAGGCCTATATTGTGAGCTGTTCGATAGTAATTTTTTTTCTTCTCTATAATTACAAAATTTCAGTTTTATGTTACTTACATTTGCCTGCATGAACTGGCCCCCGGATCATTACCTACACAAATAATTATTTAATTGATATTGATGATTTTATTTATTTTTTTAAGAAAAATATAACACGTAGAGCGAGCGAGAGAGAGAGAGAATGTGTTGTTGAGCATTACCGTATATTTAGAGGTAAGATCACCTTGTCCCCCACCTAAACCTGATATGGCGCTTTTAGTAGATGTCTTTTTCAGCCGCAGCAATTGAACGGCAGCTTCTGATATAAATGAGGCCTGCGACCCCTGATCCAACAACGCTCTCAAAACTTGAGACGACCCATCTTTCGATTCAGCCTTAATAAGGGCTGTTGCTAATAAAACTTGTTGGTGGACTGTAGTACCTTTAGAAAAATGGGCGGCAATATTAGTGACGGCCTCGCTATTCGACACAACATCGGCAGCGCTGTGGTCAGCAGTTAATGTAGTCGTGGTTGTGTCGGATTGGCTTTTGGGATGCAATAGGCTGTGGTGTTTGCGTTTGCAAATACGGCATTTGGTGAACGAGCGACAAACCTTGCTCGAATGGTTGTATCCGAGGCAGTTGAAACATAGCCCCAACGAGTTGGTAATGCTACGACGTTTATCAACATCCTCATTAGCAAACTTCTTGCAATTATACAACTTGTGTTCTTCAGAACAATGTGGGCATGAAATATTTGTGGTTGTATGCAAAGCTTTCGGGTTAGAAACTACATTAGGAGTGGCCTTGGGTTTGGTTTTAGGTTCAACAAACTCTAAAGCGCGAAAACGAGTACCTAAGAAATCTTTAAATTGGGTTAGTGTAGGTAAATCATTGGAAGTGCTACTAACCTGCAACTCCCATTGCTTGCGCGACTCGGCGTCCAACTTCATACTTACAACGTATATTACAATAACGTCCCAGGAAGTGACGTCGATACCTAAATTTGTTAATTCATGCAAACAATCGGTAGTTACATCTAACAATTCTTTAAGGGCGCTAGAAGACTCTTGTACAATATTACGTTGACTGAACAGACGTTTCAGAATGCAAAATGATATGTATCTTTTGTTATTATATCGATCTGTTAACATATTCCAACATTTAACATAGTTATTCTGCGTAATTGGTACATGGCGTATGAGCTGATCTGCTTCACCTGACAATTGTGTCTTTAAATAATGCAATTTCTGAACGTCGTCAAGTGACGCGTTGTTATGTACGAGGGAAGTGAACAAATCGCGAAACGACGTCCATTCAACGTACTTTCCGCTGAAAGTGGGCAGCTGAATCTTAGGTAATTGTAAGACAGACTCCCCCTTAGGGCCATCATTATTTTTATTGTCAGGTGAAACATTGTTAGACTCGAATTTTGAAAGTACATTCTGAAGTTCAACCTTATAAGCTAAAAATGTCTCGAAAACGTTATCGAATGCATCATCCTGTATGTAACTTGATTTACTTAAATCTTCAGTAGTAAATTCTGCAACTAGCTTTTCNNGAGAGAGTGTGTGTGTGTGTGAGTTTGTGTGCGATGGGTAGCCCTACGATTTTAATCTTGGGATCGGTTTTTAAAGACTCAAAACACGTTATCCTTTTTATTATTATACGTTATTATTATGTTCTTTAACGATTTTTGCATAAAGGAGTCAGTCAGAAAAACTCAGAATCAATTATTGGGACTAAATGTAAGCTGTGGTAAATGATGCTGATGTTGAATTTACTGATTTTTTGCAATTCGATTTCTTAAGCAACATTGTATTCAACATTGTTTTTTTACCCTAATTAAGTAAAAAAAAAAATGAAGTTACCTTATATTAATTTGCCCCAACCAAAGCTCAATGTCGTTATCGATGGAGTATAGAAGTTATAGACTGACAAAGTTTGTATGAAAAGTCATGGGCTTAACCCATGACTTTTAGGTACTTGCGATTTTTACCAGTATTTACAATATTGGTAATATAATTATTATTTACTTTAATAATAATAACAGGATCACTGTAATTATTATTAACTACTATCGCGCATTAACTTTTTAATTATGGCGAAATTCGTACCGCCTATGTTTATCAAAAATAATGCCTATATTAGGCTTTCAACTAGCTCTTATAGTAATTACATAGTTGACAGTTACTAATCCCTTCTACTATTGTTATTGTCTTTTAATATTTAGGCTGAGTTTTAAGAAATTTGTAGTGGCAATAATATTCACCAAACCGAACCTAATTAACGACCCTGAATCCCTTGAGATTGGCACTATTACAGTAGTTATTATAATATCGTAATTGTTAACTATATACGAGCATACGAGATAAAAATAAATTGTGTCAATTGAGAGGGAGCTGTTTTATTTACATTTTCTAATTTCACACAAGGAACGGTAACTTATATAAATTTCTGCAAGCCGGACAACCTCTTTTTCACGTGCAGACAATTCACCATCGTCTCCGTCTGCACCGGTGGCGGTTCAATTCCAGTCACCAAGCCGCCAGGAAAAAATCCTTTCTTGCACAACGGAATTGAGAACTCCTCCTTTTGTTGAAGTCGGTTAAAGTGTTATAATTTTTTATAAAGTCCCTATTCAGAAAACTGAAACAATATTTGGTTATCCGTGCAATAAGAGGTAATTTACGCTAGAATGCCTATTCTCTACCACAGCCGTTGTATTACCTTAGATCTAGAATCTAGACGTAGTGCCGAGCCACAACAAAGGGCCCGTCTGTCCGTACACTCACGGTTAAAAGCATTTGCCTAATTGCACCAGATTTGTCCTAGGTAGTGCTTCCTTCAGATATGGCTCCTAAAGACTACGAATTAAAGCTATACTTAGGTAATACATTCTCGCCCGTATTCACAAACGATGCTTGCTTAAGTGAAGCAGCAAATAAAACTTATAAAACTCATTTATTTTTGCAAATAGGCTTTTAAAAAGCACTTTTACACGTCCCAGTATTAACCCTACCACTGCTTCGGGACAACAAATGGGCCAGTGCTGAGAAGAGGCAGCGCAAGAAACTCAGTCACTATTGCGATCGAACGCACAGCGCTGAATAGAGCTCTGTGATTGGTTCGTGTGTCACCCTGTGCGTCCACGCGCACTGTGGGACCTCATAGCAATATTTGTGAATACGGGCGTCTCTATTAAAGATACTATGCCAAAAAAACTCACTAAGGCCATTTCACCGTCTTATTTTAACTTTAATGTAAAAAAAAAATTCAAACTCCATACAAAAACTCCACCGGTTATAGTTACGGTTAAAATAAGGTGTACCACATTACTATGTTGCACCATTAGAAGCTAAATATTTAACAAATACCATCTAGGTAGGCTAGGACGTGGTAAAATCCATCCTAGACTGCATCCCACTTAACATCAGGTGCGATTGTGGTCAAATACCTGCCTTGTTATGCATAAAAAAGGTAAATAATTACAAAAGAACCAAACACGTTAGTGAACAAAGTAGGGGAAAAGTTTTGCACATTTTAAAAATAATGGATCTCTACTAACAGCTTGTGAGATAAGATAATTATCGCAGTTCGCGTGTAAAACTTAACCGTTACCTGATATACCA